TATATATATATATATATATATATATATATATATATCAAACTCTTCAGGTCGGGGGTTCAAATATTCTTTGTCATAGTTGACCTTAAGGAGGGAGGGGGTGCTCGAATTATTAGGCACGTTAGAGGTGACTGGAGGCTCGAATAATAACTTTGATATATATATATTCGTGTTACCTATTCACGTCTGTTGATTGACCTCCATGATGTAAAACCCAAATCACTCTCTAGCGCGTGAGCCTTAAGTGTGGTACTGGAATTGTTAGGTAAGTTAGGAGTGGTTGGAGGCTCTTGTAATAGCCTCAGCCCCTCAGCCCACCTTTAATCTGCATATATATATATATATATATATTCCTTTATTTTTCCTTCTTAATTAAATCGAGATAATGATGCCTCACCAAAATGACGAGGAGCATGCGCGAATCGCATGGCCGCACCGTAGTAATCCGCATATATAATTCTTGCATTCGGGTGCTTTCTCCTCAGCTCCCCCATTGCCATTCTCAGAAACTCATTATGATACCTTGCAAATGCGTTCAGTTTCTTCAGACACCCATTCCGGCCATCATACTCCTCCTTCTCCGCCGTCGCAAACAGCGTAAGGTACGCCGTCGAGCACCCCACCGGCAAGTTCCCCGGCACCACTAGATTCACCGCTCCTCTCTCAATTAACCCCTGCACACAACATGTTCGACATAATGCCGCAAAGAAAAACAACTGACTGAAATTTAATCCGTTTGCTTACTTCAATGGTCTCCGCAATAGCGCTCACGACTCTGGGAACTAATGAGGTAACCTCGGCTGCAGACTTGCCGGAGAAGAAGGCGTAATTGTAGTCGTTACCCCCAATTTCGCCGACGAGGAAGAGGGATTTCTTGAAGTATTCGCTGCATTCTGTGAATGGGGGAAGATGGATCAGTTGGGGCTCGGAAATTTGGGGTTTTGCGTTTGTGGGAGTTATAAAAATCTCACCTTGGGTGGTTTTGCAAAGGGAAGGTTTTAGCTTGTCGAACCACTGGAGTTGAGTGGTGAGGGAGAAATTGGTCCAGATGTAGCGGCTGATGCCCATTTCGATGAGCGCCGCAGGGTTCATGGCCGTCGCACCGGCGACGGCGAAGTTCGCCCCTTGCCGGAAGTTTTGATTTGGAGCTAAGTATGGCTGGAGAAGAGGAAGACCTTGGGACTCAGCTGTAATGCAGTGTAAGCTAGCAGGTGAGTGTTTGAATTATTCAGCATTGTTCTCTACTTTATGCTGAGTTGTGAAGTAGTTTACATATTTACATGAAAGTAAGATGAGTTTTTTTTATGTTGGTGCATCAATACAATATTTCTAAACAAGAAAATGTTATGTCTGGACATGATGTCGCTGAATACAATCCACGCCGTCTTCCTCTTGTTTGTATTCTTTCAAAACAAGGCCTTAGGGGCTGTTTGGCAACGGATTTATGGTTGGATTTAGGCAGGATTTAAGCGAAATCTTACCAGTTTGCGTGCTTTAGATTTAAGGCGAAGCTCAGTAACAGCTTCACTGATTTTTAAATCGTGACAAAAATCGCCAAACAGTTTCACTGAATTTACAGGATCTAATAAATCCGAATTGACGGTATTTACTAAATCTCATACGTTGCCAGCACCTTAGTGCTAGTCTAACAAAATGTTAGATATTTTGTTTTGGATAAAAGATTTGTAAATGAATGAATACAAACATAGTGTAATTAAAACCTGGAGATATAGAACTATGTTGAAATGTTACCAATAAAGTCCACAACAAGACGGCCGTCGGAGCAACGGCCGGTGGGGTGGTGGAAGTAGGTCATCCCGTAAGGGAGCTGACTGATGGAGGGGAAGGTGAGGGCGCCGGAGAGGAGAAAGTTGCCGGTGTCGGCGAGCGAGTCTCCGAAGCTGAAAATGGAGGTGAAGTTTTGTGGGGTGGTGTGGGAGAAATGGAAGAATGAGATGATGATGATGAAGAAGAAGGAGAGGAGTGTGAGCTTCATGTTTGAGGAGGAGGAGATGAGGAGGAGAGGGAGGTTAGGGGTGAGACTGTTGGAGCTTGGAGAGTGGAGGTTCTTTATGTTAATGGTTAGGGTTTCTTTTTCATAGTGTAGAGTGCCATAGCTATAATTAAAAGTGGGGGGCATTTACATACATACCATAGAATTTTTATATATTTACATATCTAACACAACTTTCATCTTTATTTATATACCACTCAATTTATTGAAATCATGTCAAAAGTACTACTATCATACACCTTTTTTTGTGTAAGTTATAAATGTAAATGTTAAGCTTTAGTTGGTAGAATGTAAATAGATGAGAATTTTGTGGCATGAATATGTAAATCTTCTATGTTAAAAGGGTTCACATGTGAAAGCTTTGGAGACCGTTGGCATAGTGGTGAAGGGAGGTGTGCGCATGGTAAATTCACATTGCTTTGAGATTAGTTGTTATGTTGAACACAATCCAACGGCTCAAGTTTCATGTTGAGCACAATCCGACGGCTTCTAAGTTCTAACAATGATCCAATTTACAAAAATACCTTAAAATTATAAGTTAATAAGTTATTTAAATACAGATGCAACCTTGGATGCATTGTCCTACAAGACATTATCATTTTTAAATAGAAATAAATACTGTTAACAAATTATGCCATATAGTTATCTTTGGGCAATTTAGTTGCATCCCCACCTAATTCCTATCCATTTACTCATCTACCACCATAATTTTGCTTTTTTTACTTTTAGTCCCCGCCCATATCTCTTATTTCACATCTTAAATACCACCATTCAAATTTTCAAAGATGAAATACATCAGTAATTGTGATGCCCAAGTATGGTAACTTATATGTAAAAATTGAAGTTTAGGTGTTGCAAAACCATTAATTGAGTCGTACGTACGTAAATCTTCCTTATATTTCTACTGATGAGAACTTACACACCAATCCATCAATATTACATGCGGACAAAGAAGATGCAGATAGGCGTGAATTTGATAGTATTTACCATAATATCATCACAATATCACCAATCTATCAATATCACCACAATACCATCATGAATATTGATACCGCACCTTTGCATGTAATATATATTTATATTTGAAAGTATTATTTATGAGGGTCAAGAAACCTGATATGTTTATGGCTTGGCATTCATATCTCATAGTAATGACAACGGTCTGCAGCAGGACATTAATATGGCGAGAGGAAGCTTTTTTTCGTTGAGAAGGAAATTAATTGATGGAGTGTGTGGAAGCGGTGGACAAGTTTCAAGGCCTTGAATCTCGTGGACATCTTGTAAAGTAGAAGTAAGTGCACGTAATTTCAATTTCCTGTCATATTAAAGGAGACCATCCTCCCCTACTTAACCCTCTGCAAACATATTTATGATCATCATGTGATATGTTGGTACCTTCAGGATGTTTGCAGTAGTTTTGATGCCATACTTTCATCTTCTGTTTTGTAATTTACGGATCTCATTTCGAGTTGAGTTGAGATCGATTTGAAATTGGGTAGAATAGATTTAGGGTTTGTTTGGGCAGCTACAGTTTATTAAAAAGCTGTTGTGAAACTGCTGAAAACTAATATGATGTTATTATTATTATTTTTTTTTTTTTGAAATCGTCTGGCCGTAGCTAGAAAGCTGCCACAACACTAAAAAGCTGTTGTGAAACTGCTGAAAACTAATATGACGTTCAAAAAGTTATGGTGACAATTATTATTATTATTATTTTTTTTTTGAAATCGTCTGACCGTAGCTAGAAAGCTGCCACAACACCAGCTGCCACAACACTTAGCTAGGATCGGTGAAAAAATGTAGATTTCAGAAACAACTTTTTGAAATACTATCAAAATATAGTTTACCGAAACAGACAAAATTACGGTGTGGTGTCGCCCCGCCGCATCAAACGGACAAATGCGGCTCGAAATAGGGTCGTGATCCATTATATTCAATTTCTAGGATCCGGCTCAAAATTGAATCGAGCTCGAAATCAAAATGAGCAGGCCCAAATTGAGTTATTTGGATTCATTTTAGCTTGGAATCGGCTCCATCCAGCTCAAAATTGAAAGTAATTAGCTCAAATTCAGTTATTTAGATTCAATCCAGTTTGAAATTGGCTCGTGACTCATTATATTCAGTTTTACATAGGCAGTAATTTTTATAAACAAAAAAATTTTGTGAGCCGATATCAAGCCAGTTTGAGTCGATCCATATATGACTCGAAATCAGCTCGAAAAATATTCAATCCAAAGTTTCGGCTCACAGTTCCGCTCGTTTATGTCGACCCGATCTCAATCCGAGCCAAAATTCAAAATCAATTTTCGAACGATTAATGATCTTCGAGCTAAATTCACTGCCCTATTTACATAATTTTCTTTGTCATCTTGCAAGTTGTCTTTTTTCAGTAGTTTTGGAAGGAGAAGACATCCCTTTTTAGGGAGATTTATATATGATATTCAAATCTTATGTATTTATGTATCTGACATCAGAATGTTGATGTATATTTATGTAGCATTTTTAGTATCATTAATACATCAATATATATATATTTGTGATATTTATAAGTACTCAAGTTTAAATGTTAAATATGTAAATCGAGTAAAGTAGTGGTCTGGCCCCACCGCATATAAAATGACAGATTTGTCCCTGCATTTTTTTAGTATATGCTGAAATAATTCATTGAAAGAATTATTTTAGTTCCTATTAAAAATATATATTTAAAATTGATACTTTATAAATTTTGGGATTTAAATGACTAATTGTAAAGAGTCAAGGGGCAATATCGACATTTTTCTTAATGTAACTATATTATAAGTATGCGGCCTATATGTATGTGAATTCCACAAATATTTTGGGGCATTTGCATGCATACCACACAGATTTTATATATTTACATTTCTTGCACCTCAACTTTACTCTCTATATTTATGCTGCCCAAATGTTTTATATCATATAAAAATACCACTTTAACTTTTAAAAAGTGAAATACACCTTTTCATGTACGAGGAATGTTGAAGTTTGGTTGTACATAAAATAATATAACAACACAAATCTTGCGGAAATTCGATGGTTCTAAGAGTATTGCATCGAGATAGTTAAAAGACAAAAACACAAAGCAACATTTCTGTCGGCAGCACCCTCAACTGATTTTGGGATTCTTCGTAAAAATGGCCAAAGGGTACCCAATTAAATATATTTCTAATCCTCTGGAGTGCCCCTTGTCCAAAAGAGAGCTATCTATCAGATTATGGTGATGCACTCTCTCACCCTAACGGCAATATGGCCTCTACTGAGGATTCTTTCGAGAATGCCAGCCAAAAACTTGCTAGCCTACCGAAGACTTATCAGCCGACCGAACAGTTAACAAACGATCGAATGACAATACCAGCGGGTTATTAAATGCCCATCTTCAAGCGGTCATGAATGCGATATAATGTCAATGTCAATTATGGATATTAAAGTGTCTTGGAGTCGGTTACAAATATGAAAAGGTGTAATAGTTGCCTGTAATGTCCTTATTAAAACATGCATTAACATGTAATCTATAAATATTGGGTTATTTCTTCAAGAAAGGACTAATGATGTTATACATAAAACAAAAATGATCCCAAACAAACCCTAAATAGATTGCCTCTATTTTTCATTGAAAACTCTTGACTTGATTTGCTACCATGCAAAAAACAACAATATATACATAAAAAAATGATATTTCCAAGGTGAAGAATTGTTATATTTATTGAGCAATGCTTTTATTATTATTATTTATTTATTTATTTATTTTTAACATAAAAATGTATCTCCTCTTTAGTTACAAATCTATGGAATTCATTCTATGATATGAGAATAATTCTGAGATTTAGTATTAGGGAAATCTACATACATACCATCCAATTCCTATATATTTACACATCTAACACCTAGACTTTGCTCTTTAACATTTATACAACTAAAATATTTCATATCACATAAAAAATATCACTATTAGAAATTGAAAGTGTCCCAAGCATCTCCACCACTTCTCCAAAGCCCCAAACCGAAAGAAGAGCTTTCTCTCTACTTCGGTTAGACTTGAAGCCATTAGTTTGGTTTCAGTCAAAGAGGAGCTCTGGAATCAATTTTCGGTCTACTATGTCAGCTGAGTCCATCAAAGCGTAGAACTCCAAGTGCCCGATCATAGGGAAGCTAACTTTTTCCCTTATTAGTTATGCTTGTAGACTTAAGTCGTACTTTCAAACACATCTTGTTCGGGTCATCACCGATGACCCACTCAGATCTGTCCTTACTTGAATATGAAGCTCTAATTGTCGGCCTACACTTTGCCTAATGGGTGGGTGCTCGGTATCTCCTAGTAAAATCCGGCTCACAGCATGTTTTGAATCATGTAAATGGAGAATTTGAAGTCAGAGAAAACATGGTGTCTCGATACCTCAACAAGGCAAAAGCAGAGATTAAAAAGTTTGTTTGTTTTAAACTTGAACACATTGCTCGAGAAGAGAACCAAATTGTCGACCTCCTATCAAAGTGTATCCACTTGGGGGCGGCGATATCCCAAAACAGATTTTGGCTATACCTAAGGACCATAAATGGATTTGGAGACCAAAGGACTAAAATTTTAGATGGATCCTTACATCCAATACATTGAAACCAGGAAAATATCAAAAGGTGTTGCCGACCCAAGGATGTTTAAGATCAAGGCTGCACGATATCTCTTGATCGAAGGAAAGCTTTTCTGAAGACCTACCCGTTCACTATACCTAAGATGCATCAGAGAAAATGAGGTAGAAGATGTCTTCCGAGAAGTCCACTCTAGGGATTGCGGAAGCTATTCTGGAGGAAAAAATCTAGCACATAAGGTAGGCCCACCATATTATGGATTGCATGGTCTACAACTCGTGTAGGTCCTAACTCTATACTTCGTGGCTTACGAACATTATCGCAACTCACCATTACGACTATACGAGCAACTATGGCTAACATGGTCCAAAACTCGTGTAGCTCCTGACTCCAGCCTTTATAGCCTACGGACATCATTACAGTTCACCACTACGGTTTATATGTACAACTAAGACCTATGTGACTCACAACTCCTGTAGCTTCCTACTACAATCTCCATAACCAAACAATGCTCCGAAAGCAACCATTTGCGACACACACAATCAACTGCCACTATGACTTTCACATATTACCTATATGACAAACTGGTGCTACAACAATCATCTATATTATTTACGGCGAACTATTGCTTCCATAGCCATCGTTCACAGCCTTTGCGACCATTATAGCAATTATTACTGAGTTGAATTGTACAGTAAGCTTTATCTTTTATAATTATGAAGAAGAATGAACACATATACTCAAAATTACATAGTGAATTATTTCAATTGGACTAGACTCCGTGGTTTGTTCCCCTTTCTAGGGTATTCCATATAAAAAAATGGGGAGTCTCAACTACTACTCTTTTTTCTTCTCAATGAAATTAATATATAAATTTTTTTTTTTTTGGCACAATATCTTAAAATTAAATTTTTTTCGAGCAAAATCTTATGTTTTTGCAGAAAAAAAAAAACATAAATTAACAATAAACAAATATTTGCATAAAAGAAGTTAAAAACCATGCTTTTTTATTTTTTTTCTGAACATTTAACTCTCTACGTCGACAACAAATCTGCAATAGCATTGATAAAGAACCCGGCGTTTCATGGGCGCAGCAAGCACATCGACACTTGCTTCCACTTTATTTATTTTTTTTCAGAAAATTAGTTTTTTTTGTAAAAATAATAAAATAAAAGCTCATTAAAAGCATAAATTATATCATACCAAAGCTCAAAATCTCTTCATGACAGAACTAATCATCAATAAGAAAGCAACATCGAACTGAAACTGATGAGAGAAAGGAACAAATTCTGAAGCAAAAATCTAATCCATTGTTGGATCTTAGAATAAATTAATTATTTTCATAAATCAGAAGATGAACATCATAATTTTATAAATTGCATCAATCATATTTATCAGCCTAAGGTGCAGATGGCTCATGGCTGGGATGCTGAGGATCCGGTCCCCCTGGAACTTCCCTCTTTCCCATATCATCAACAACAGACTTACTGCTCATCTCCGTCGGCGGCCAACTCGAGCTCTCATCAACGGCGTCGAATTCGATCGCCCACTTGTCTTCATTCTTATGCAGAAAGGCGGGAACGGGCGATCGGACCGAGCTAACTGTCGGCGAGAGAAGAAGCTCAATGGCAAGCAGGTAGAGAAATACAAGAGCTGTGCTCTTTTCCATGGTTGACGCTTGTTTGAGTTTAAGGAGGATGATATCCTATGCATATTTATATATAAGAAGAATATTGGAGCGTTTTGTTTCGGTATGTCTTAGTTAGTATAAAATTATGTGTTGTGTTGCATTGTAAAAACACCCAGACTTGTATTTTTTCACTCTTTCAAAATAATAAAAAGAGAATTCCCAAAAGTTCAATCTCATTTTTCGATTTGTCCTTTAGCGATCCAGTAAATTGGAACCAACATATATATATATATATATATATACAAACACACACATATTATTGATGGAGTAATTAATTTTACATTATACTCATCTCAAAATAAAGTTAATAGTTAAAAATCTAATTTGACATTAATTTAGATTCTCCATCTCACCCATAGTTTATAACTTCTCCTTTTGACTTTTTACCCCATGGAGAGATAAGATCAGCCATCAAATCCCCTCAGTCAATACCAATCTTCTCCTTCGCCACTTCGATCTAAACAGAAACCAAAAAGAAATTTATTCTGTATGTAGGCAATGGATAAAAAAAAAAATATATTTTTTTATAGAGAAAAATTGAAATATTCTTTTTTAAAATTATAATTAAAAATAAATTGTTTATAAATTAGGAGAAAAAGTCAAACCTTATATATTCAAAAAAGAATGGTCAGAGATTATTATACGAGCCCCCAACCACTCTCATGTGCCTAACTATTCGAGGATCGCTCTCACTATCGACAAACTGGCCAGAAGGAGATTCAAACTCGTGACCTAAGGGGACTTCCGACCTTCAAAGAGGTTGCTCTATCAACACATCACGGCTGATATATATATATATATATA